GTGCCAGCGCGTGGCAGGGGGGTCCTGGGGCCGCCGGGACGGCCGCCCGCCCCCAGCGATGCGCACGGGACCAGGTGTGGGGACCCAGCGAGGATGCCTCACGCCTGCCGGGCAGCTGGGCGGGGGGGGACCCTGGGACCCGCCGGGGAGACCCCAGCACCTGGCCGCGCACCTCCCAGCAGCCCCAGGCGGGTGGTCCTCATGGAGCTGGGCCCCCCAGGGCCCCCGGCGGCCTCAGTGTCCGGGAGTCAGTGCGGGCCTCACCCGTGACTCCTCCCAGCAGCCCCAGGGAGGCGAGAGGCCGGGGGCCGCAGGCACAGGCGGGGGCCGTGGCCGGCACCCTGGGCGTCGGTCCTGGGCCTGCCCTCGGAGCCCCCTGCAGTGGCCAGAGCCAGCCCTGCTCCAGGGGACACCCGGACCCCCAGGCCCAGGTCCAGCCCTCCGGAGAATCTTGTGAGGGTGACAGACAGTGGACAGAACCCAGGGGTGGGCTTTGGGCCGGTCGTTTGGAAACGAAGGCCGGGCTTAGCGCACACAGCTGCGCTGGCACCCCAAGCCAGGGCCCATCAACAGGAAGACGACTTCAGGCTGGGCGCGGGCCTGGCCAGGCCCTGCTCGGGGGTCTGTGGAGACTTCCAGGTGCTGGGCAAAGCCTGGCCCCAGGCAGGTGCTCTGTTCACTTGCTGTGTGGCTCTGGGCGAGTCACCAGCCCTCTCTGTGCCTGTTTCTCCCAGGGAGTGAGTGGCAGGTGGGTGACCTCGGGGGCTTGTGAGGACAAGGAGCCCCACCGAGGGACCCGGCCCACAGCCGGGCGCCAAGCCACTGACCTGGGGGCGAGGGCCTGGCTGGGAGGGCTGGGGGCGGCGCGGGGGCGTGGGCACAGGGGTGGGCCCCACCTGGCCAGAGTGCCAATCCCAGACCGCTCAGGGCACGGCCGGCCTCCTCTTAGAGAGACTGGACCGTCCGGAGACCCACCCGCGAGAGGCCTGACGGGACGGCGGGCAGTTACCACCCTGGGCCCGCGGGAGGCCAGTGAGATTGCCCCGGCGGAGAGCTGCACGGCGGCAGGCGGGAGGCTCACCGGGCACACTTTGCTCAGGGGCTGGGTCTTGACGATGCGGCAGAAGAGCGGGAAGCCCAGCTCCTCCAGCTGGAAGGCCGCCAGGTAGCAGATCACTGGGGTGGGCAGAGGCGGCTCAGGGAGGGTGCTGGGCGCCCCGGTCCCCGCCGGGCTGGGGCTCGGCCAGCTGTGGCGCCCGCTCGGAGCCGGACGCCACGCACGGGAGGCCCCGTGCTTCCCAGGTCGGGGGTCTCGTCCTGGGAGGCCAGCGGCCTCGGCAGCTGGACCTCCACTGGTGCTGGCCAGG